GTTTGACCAATAGCGTGCAGGAATTGTACATAATCGACCAATCGTGGCATGTGAGAAGGCGGGATCTAGAGAGCAGTCAAAGCAATGCAAATACGCACACATATAATGTATGAGGACTGTAGAGAGAACACCAATCGGAAAACAAGGCCAAAACCTGGACTTTTTAGGTCATTTAAATGGTTTTCCTCTAGTAGTCAAAAAACAATCCCAAAGAAGACTTGAAATAACGGAATGTTGTTATTTGTTGTGTAATGACATCACAGTAAACTACCACTGACCTTTGACCTTATTGCCTGCAGCCTTTTGAAAAATTACCAGCATTTGTAAAGAGCATTTAACCTCATTTGTATTTGTGGTGATTAAAAGAAACTATGAAAACACTATGAATCAGATGCCATAATGATAATTCACTTTAGCCCACAAGCCTCAATCTGATTGGCTGGTTTGTACAAACATTTACATACATGCATGTAACAGATGTAGCAAAAAAAAATCAATTTGTCAAAGAGACAACAATATATGTGATACACAATGCCAGGTTTATGAGACACCTAGAAATGTAATAGCCATGAGCCATGATACATTAAAGGCTTTTAAATTCATATTCAGTTCCATGGACAAATTGGTAATTTTTTTTAAATTTTATTATTATTATAAAAAAAAAATCTCAAATTTTGCTCCAAGTAATATAGTTTTTGAAAACCAGGCTCATTGAGGTTTTTTTTTAATTATTTTTATTTTTTATTTTATTTTACAACTTCGATTGTGGCTCATCCAGTCAGACATCAAAGACTCATCTGAAATTAGATTTATATTTGCTTGCTGTTCATCACATAAACCAATCATATGTCTTCTTGGAGTACGACTGTTAACCAGATTCTTATGGGTTTGGAGCAACACGAGGGAGAGTAAATAATGGTTTTTGGTGAACTGCTCTTTTAAAAAGTTTCTGTGATCTTTTTACACTGACTGTGAGCTAAAGTTAACAGCTGCATCACATATTTAAAACACATGTATTTCTCAATTTTGATTTGTTCTAATAGTGTTTTACTTCTAGAACCACGTGACTCACTCCCGCGCTTGTTTTTTTAGTCCTCATCTTGAGCAGAAACATCATTTTAAACGACATTTTAATGCTCCTTTTTGCATCTTTATTTGAGCAATGCTTTATAGTTTATATGAAACTATAAACTGTTAGCAAGATAATAAGATAATGATGGACTGGCTATAATAACCATAATCAGATCATGTTTGTTGGCATGAGAGCATGTTGCGGTTTGGCATCTGCATTATTATCTGGCAAACTGTGATTAAGCCGAATATTTCCTGCAGATTACAGTTCAGCGAGACTCAAACTGTGTTTTCCTCCAGTCGTGCATCAGCCCAACTATTCTCCATCAAACACTCGTTACTGCAACCAGTCGGATCCAATTATTTGGCATTATACTGAAGCAAGTAAACAGGTCATAATGAGCACAGAACACGGAGCTCAATGGAAATGACGGCGGAGAGGCTTTATTTTCATGAATATGCTTCCACGAGTGTTAAATGAGCTGTGAAATGAGATTGCATCACACACACGGCGTTAAAAAAGTCTTAAGGAAGACTGAAAGAAAGTAAAAAGCCAATCTCGCTTTCAGGAGGAAATCTGGATCATTACATTGACTTTTGGAAGCCGTCAGAAGAGTTTGATTTTCTAATGGCGTAATGGTGAATGCATGCTTATAAATGCAAATACAGGACACACACACATACTCACTCACTCACTCACACACACACACACACACTCACTCACTCACTCACTCACACACACACACACACACACACACACACTCACACACACACACACTCACACACACACACACACACACACGCACACACACTCACACCCTAACCCTTCTGACAGATGCTTATTAAGAGATTTACAGACACTTGACTGTCGCCGTGTGTGTGTGTGGATCTACAACAGCTCAGTTTTTTGCATTTTCTCATGGTTTGAAGGCATTTTGCACCTGCTGTGGAGAAACTTTCATTTGCATTTGATAATTTTGCGCCTGTTTCTGAGCTTCGGGCTGTGAATGAAGTTTTGCACTCAGCTCATTTTCTCCTCGTGACATATGCAAATAAATTAGAATAAAAATTCCATAGTAAATTAAACCTTTTTGAAATGACAATTTCACTTATAACACTGAGAGTAATACAATAAAGGCTCTGCTCCCGTGATATTTCAGATGGGATAACCGGTGTGTGATATATGAATATCTGTCTGTCTCAAATGTCACACATCATGTCTATCAACATGTTTAATCCAAATGGCATTTAAATGCAGATACAGTCTATATAAGATCTTCAAGTGAACATCAGTTCTTTTTTTAAATACTGATGGTGTTAACCAATAATATGTGAAACATTCATTGTTTACCTTGATGAATATGTAACAACATGCTGCAATTTACTGGGTGATAAATGCATTTTATGATCACATAATTATGCTGAAATTCAAACTCAGTGAGAGTCTCTGACACTGTGTATTTTCACATTACTGTATTCTCAGGGTTCATTTATTTTACTCAACCCAAAGGCCGATTATAGACTATTTCCAATGACAACCTTTCCATATCATTTGAATAAATCATGGTTCCCCAAACTGGGGTTTATAAAAAGTAAATAATTAAATCATAAATATGTACAATTAAAATAGATACTTAAAGTAAAATAAAAAATAAACAAAATTAAACACTTACTAAAAATATATTATATATATATTTTTCTGCATGTCATGTGACCATTAACCACAATTATAGAGCTATGAATATGCATATGAGTTGATAAATTATTGAAACATTTAATTAAAATCAAGGTTATTATAGTTTTATACTAAAACCATTAAAACCATTTTTGTTAGTTGAAATAAAATGAGCATTAACTGAAAAACAAACTTAAACACAAATATTTATTTATTATTTAAATATAAATAAAATAAAAAAACTACAACTAAAACTTAAATAAAAGTTAATAAAAAATGATATAGGCATATTTTTTTAAAACACAAAACTGATAATAAAATAAAAACAGAAAATAAAAACTTCAAATTAAATATTTTAAATAAAAGGGGGTCGTCTGACTTAATAGTTTAGAAATCCTTGGAATAACAAGGTAAACTGAGCAAAAATCATCACATCACATAACATTTTTGTCAGTTTTTATAATTTTTGCCAAAAAAAAAGAAAACCCTCTTTGTGATTTTTATAATATTGTGCATCTTTGAATTCTTCCTGCAATTCTATCAAATTTCTATCGACACAAATGGCAACATTTCCTAAGAAAGAATCTGATCTGTTTTTCTTGAGCTCAGTGTTTTTTGACCCTAAAGTCAGGCCATCTTCAAATCATATAATATTCTACTTCAAACAAGACAGCAGTTTCATATCCTGGTATTATTTTAATATGGGCTCAGCAAACATAATAAAGCGCTGTCATATATTCAGTCACACGAGCAAACTATATTTCTGCAGGTGCCTGTTTGAATCAGTGTTTAACTCTCTCTTTCTGTGATTCACACGCGGCGATGGAGATCAATACAGTACATCAATAACGCCAGATTATATTCTCCAACCTGTTATCTTCATCCGTCTCCACCAGCGTTACCATGACTACAAGCACACAGACCACCGTCCTCTCCTGAGCATCCGCTCCTCATAAACACAAGTGTGAGTCTGTGCCAGAGACGCACAGAGAAGCAATGCATGGAAATCAAGTCACACGCCACTGGAACGATGGCGCCTGGATGGAGAGATCGGTTATCGATCCCTGAGGAAACAGACACTCATTCCACCTCTCGCAGGAAACACATCTATTTCTGAACTTCATGAAACACTCAATTATCACAGAACACGGATGTGTCGTATTTCACAGACTCATATTTATCTCACAAATCAAACCCGTGTTTGCAAAGGCCAGAAAAAGTGAGTCAAAGTATAAAAAACCAGCGACCGAGTAGATGTAAATGATGCAAAGATTGTTACATGATCCTAATGCCAGTTCCTGTAGATCTCCTTTATTATCTCACACAGCTGAAGCAAATATTACTGATATAAATTTTGCTTGTAAAGAAAAATGCATCAGCTATACTGAAATATTAGAGATTTAAAAATGCATCAATAAATAAATATTAGAGATTTAAAAATGCATCAACTATACTGAAATATTAGAGATTTAAAAATGCATCAACTATACTGAAATATTAGTGATTTAAAAATGCATCAACTATACTGAAATATTAAAGATTTAAAAATGCATCAACTATACTGAAATATTAGTGATTTATATATTTACTCAGCACACACGGCGGTGAACAAAGGCATTTTTTTGCCTCCATTATAAACAGAGTTTCAGACTGATGAACACTCTTCACAGTCACTGTTTGCAAAGCTGACAGAGTAATGAGAGACTGAAGAGACTTTATCAAACCCATGTTTGCAAAGGCCAGAAAAAGTGAGTCAAAGTATAAAAAACCAGCGACCGAGTAGATGTAAATGATGCAAAGATTGTTACATGATCCTAATGCCAGTTCCTGTAGATCTCCTTTATTATCTCACACAGCTGAAGCAAATATTACTGATATAAATTTTGCTTGTATTTAAAAATGCATCAACTATACTGAAATATTAGAGATTTAAAAATGCATCAACTATACTGAAATATTAGAGATTTAAAAAATGCATCAACTATACTGAAATATTAGTGATTTATATATTGTGAGAAAATGCATTTACTCAGCACACACGGCGGTGAACAAAGGCATTTTTTTGCCTCCATTATAAACAGAGTTTCAGACTGATGAACACTCTTCACAGTCACTGTTTGCAAAGCTGACAGAGTAATGAGAGACTGAAGAGAGAAACAGACGCTGAAGAGACTTTATTTGCTCACAGTAAATGAAGATCAGCTCAACAAACCAACACAATCCTGATACAGCACACACACAAACATCCTCTAACCATGCTCCTCTTCTTCAGCACCAACCGTCATCTTCATCCGTGGTTCAACAGCAAGTTCTGCAGAGAACGAACAAACAGTCACGTCAACAAGCGCTGATTTCCATAATAAACCTCCTTCATCAATTCAAGCCTTCATATGTCGTTCACCTCTCCTGGCTTTAGTTTGAGTTATTCTAGAAGCAGCACACTTTATAGTCAAACCCTCACACACACACATACACACACACACACACACACACACTCGATACATTCACACACATGTTGAACAGCAGTGGAGATGAGCTGAACGAAACCGATGATTATATCATCTCTGCTTTTTCTGTTATTGTCGAAACTCAGTCATTCCTGATGTTGAAGAAGGGCTGCACAATTTGGAAAAAATATATAATTGGGATTTTTCATATAAAAACTTCAACTGTGATTTAAAAAGAAAATATCCAAGTTTGCTTTACTTATTTGTGGGTCTTTACAAATTGACACACAGACAAAAAAGATTATATATATCAATACGACTATAAAATAATAATAATAATAAATATAAAATATTAAACACAATTTAAAGTATTACTATTGTAATATTTCATTGTAAAATAAAAAATGAGTATTTAAGAAAAATAATACAATAATTTTATTTTATAGTAAAACTGTAAAATTACAGCTCCAACATTTACTGGTGTTTTAATACCTTTACTTTCACATGTTAAACCACCAAGCTTTTATTTTGATGGAAGACACCAGGGATACTATAAAGTGCCCAGTCCGTATATTGACTTTCATGCAGTGTTTAATGTTTTTTTGTGTGTTCCCGTCATTTTACTGACGACTGCTTCTCTAATCTCAGGGAGTTCAACGCAGGATTCACAAAACGCTTGCTCTTGAGAGATGACTCAGTACCCAGTTTATTTGGACCAGCTGCTCCACTGAATCACAACCTGTAAGTATGATAAATAATAGATGTTTATATTTTCTATTGAGCGTTCAAAACATGGAACTATTGCGATGGGAGTATCGTTTCCGACACACGCTGTACGCGGTAGACCAATCACAACAGACTGGGCCTTCTGACCAATCAGAGCAGAGCAGGCTCACGGAAAGGCGGGGTTTAGAGAGACTGAATCTCAGAACTGCTTCAAACGAATCGTTTTGAAAATGAGGTGATATTAAATGCATATTTTGAGAAAACTAAAGCGTTTTTTGACCTTGCATGCATGTAAACCTATTGTAGGAGACTCCCAAAACAATATTAGGACGCTTAAAAATGGCATAATAGCTTCTCTTTGGCTGTCAACAGCCAGTTTACAAATTTTGTAAAGATGGTCTGGCACATGTTATGTTGTCAAACGCACAATAAAGCATGTCAAAGTCAGAGCAGATGCAGACAATCGAGCTGCTGAAAACACCGGATCATGAGCTGCTCACGTGTAAATGAACACAGTGCCGCGCTTCACTCAGAAACAGATTTTTTATTTGCTGTGCTAAGCCATCTCACAATTTCAGTTTTATTTCAATTAATCATGCAGCCTTATATCGAGCCACAAAAACCACACTGTGAAGATTGATACTGCGATGGGTGTTTTAGAGGCTAATCACAGAGACGGCACACATGAGAAGAACAGCTGAATAATGCCTTTGCGAGAGAGATTAAACACACAAACACACACAGGCCGTGAGTGACGCTCTTATCTGCGGCCGGAGGAACTTACGGTGACCTGAACACACTATCTTGGCATAGTTAGAACATTATAGATTCCAAATATTCATTAATAGAATGATATATACTGTATATATATAAAAAATCCTGATTCTGTTAAAAATATCTAATTATTTATTATTAAAAATCCACTATTCAAATAATTAAATTCAGCAGGTAATGTGTCATATATTGGGGGCCATGGCTTATTATAACAGTTTTTGCAGTTAACTTTTTTTGTTAGTAAAACAAGTTTATTTTATTTAACTTTACATTTTTGAAAAAAAGAAAGAAAAAGTAAAAAGTCAGCCAACTGAGAAAAAACCACAACTGTTACTTGAAATAAGGAAACAAACATTAACTAAATGAAATAAAACAAAATACAAAAACGTATTTTACTTCAGCCAGTTGCCAAGAAAGCATTTCTCTTTTTTATTTTAACTTGAAGTACAAAAATAACTGAAACTGAAAATAAGTTAATAAAAACTATATACGCCAATTAAAAATAATAATAAAAATGACAAAAACACAAATATATAAATATATTTGTATATATGTCATTAATGCAGTATATATATTCATGATACAGTAATGCAATAGACTTAAACTTACACTACATTATATATGTTTTAATCACTGATTAGCTCAGCGCTGCAGTCTAACGCTGATGTGCTTCAGTCTGGTTGAGGTATGACACTCTCGTGTGTCTTTTTTCTCAGCAGAGATGTTGAAATAAAGCTGCACATCTTCAATCCTCACGCGCCCTTCATCCCGACAGCACAGAGAAACGGCCACAGCTGGAACGCAGCGTCCCAATCAAGCCGAAGGAGCGTAAAATGAAGACGACAGCCTCAGCAGAGCAGCGCCGCAGGCATCAGGAACCACTAACCACCTTCCTCCTGTCCTCGTCCTACAGACACTGCTGTAGATTAATGACCCGACCGGCGGCTTCATCAGTGAGCAGCATTCACACAGACACACACACACAATCACACACAGGTTTGTTTTTGTGAATTGTGGGGACATTCCATAGGCGTAATGGTTTTTATACTGTACAAACTGTATGTGCTATTGCCCTACACCAACCCTACCCCTAAACCTACCCCTCACAGGAAACTTTCTGCATTTTTACTTTCTCAAAAAAACTCACTCTGTATGATTTATAAGCGTTTTGAAAAATGGGGACATGGGGCAATGTCCTCATAAGTCACATTCTCCTTGTAATACCTATGTTATACCCATGTCATTACACAAATGTGTGTCCTCATATGTCACAAAAACGCACACACTCACACACAGACAGACACACACACTCTCACACAGACAGACACACACAGACACGCATGCACGCACACATGCTCACACACACACACAGACAGACACACAGACACATGCTCACACACACACACAGACAGACACTCTCACACACACACAGACAGACAGACAGACAGACAGACAGACAGACAGACAGACAGACAGACAGACAGACAGACAGACAGACAGACAGACAGACAGACAGACAGACAGACAGACAGACAGACAGACAGACAGACAGACAGACAGACAGACAGACAGACAGACAGACAGACAGACAGACAGACAGACAGACAGACAGACAGACAGACAGACAGACAGACAGACAGACAGACAGACAGACAGACAGACAGACAGACAGACAGACAGACAGACAGACAGACAGACAGACAGACAGACAGACAGACAGACAGACAGACAGACAGACAGACAGACAGACAGACAGACAGACAGACAGACAGACAGACAGACAGACAGACAGACAGACAGACAGACAGACAGACAGACAGACAGACAGACAGACAGACAGACAGACAGACAGACAGACAGACAGACAGACAGACAGACAGACAGACAGACAGACAGACAGACAGACAGACAGACAGACAGACAGACAGACAGACAGACAGACAGACAGACAGACAGACAGACAGACAGACAGACAGACAGACAGACAGACAGACAGACAGACAGACAGACAGACAGACAGACAGACAGACAGACAGACAGACAGACAGACAGACAGACAGACAGACAGACAGACAGACAGACAGACAGACAGACAGACAGACAGACAGACAGACAGACAGACAGACAGACAGACAGACAGACAGACAGACAGACAGACAGACAGACAGACAGACAGACAGACAGACAGACAGACAGACAGACAGACAGACAGACAGACAGACAGACAGACAGACAGACAGACAGACAGACAGACAGACAGACAGACAGACAGACAGACAGACAGACAGACAGACAGACAGACAGACAGACAGACAGACAGACAGACAGACAGACAGACAGACAGACAGACAGACAGACAGACAGACAGACAGACAGACAGACAGACAGACAGACAGACAGACAGACAGACAGACAGACAGACAGACAGACAGACAGACAGACAGACAGACAGACAGACAGACAGACAGACAGACAGACAGACAGACAGACAGACAGACAGACAGACAGACAGACAGACAGACAGACAGACAGACAGACAGACAGACAGACAGACAGACAGACAGACAGACAGACAGACAGACAGACAGACAGACAGACAGACAGACAGACAGACAGACAGACAGACAGACAGACAGACAGACAGACAGACAGACAGACAGACAGACAGACAGACAGACAGACAGACAGACAGACAGACAGACAGACAGACAGACAGACAGACAGACAGACAGACAGACAGACAGACAGACAGACAGACAGACAGACAGACAGACAGACAGACAGACAGACAGACAGACAGACAGACAGACAGACAGACAGACAGACAGACAGACAGACAGACAGACAGACAGACAGACAGACAGACAGACAGACAGACAGACAGACAGACAGACAGACAGACAGACAGACAGACAGACAGACAGACAGACAGACAGACAGACAGACAGACAGACAGACAGACAGACAGACAGACAGACAGACAGACAGACAGACAGACAGACAGACAGACAGACAGACAGACAGACAGACAGACAGACACACACACACACACGCCTCGCTGAGACCCGCCGCCTCCCGCAGACACCTGCGCTGACCGGACGCTCACTTTATTACTTCTGACGGACCATCACTACTGTCTGCACAGATAATGGGATATTTAGACACAATACAAGAGACATCGACTCCAAAAATATTAGACAGTGTGACGACAGAAATGAGTCAACTGAAGACTGCAGTAATGATGCTTAAAATTCAGCTTTGATCACAGCAATAAATTACATTTGAAGAATATATTCACATAGAAAAATAATATTTCACAATATTACAGCACTGTGTTAAAAAAACAGTTGCTGCCTTAAATTAT